GCCATATGAATCCTAACTTGATCCAAACAAAATTTCAGATCTATCGTCGTGCACGGCCATGCTTGATTATAACGTGCGACAGTGACATATTTCACAAAACTCTCTACTTGCAAAATTAGAAAGAGCATGATCGTGCTTGATAATGTCATCTAGATGTGCTAGAGTGTTGTTTTCTCAAATGTACCAGGGTTCGACTCTATTTAGAGAATATTCAGTTTTTCACCTTTTAAATTTCAGTTTCTGATATTTTTGTAATAAAAATGAAGGAAATCAGCAAGGAGAAAGCTCGAACTTTCGATCTTCCTTAGTAAAGGCAACTAATCTATCATTATATTATAAAATTTTACTATAAATTTCACCATAGTCTAATAGTAGATCATGTGAAATATTTTCTCGATCCGCTTCTGATCAAAATCCCAGTTATTTTATGTTTAATTGTTATATGTGACAATTCAATATCTATATGCACAACCATTTTTAATATCCCTTTTCAAATAGTCCTATGAGAGTTGATACATGTTATACTTCTATGTTCAAACTTCAATTAGGGGCTGTTTGTTTGGCTCTTAATGGTTACATTAAGAGCCAACCTCTTAATCGGTAAGAGGTCAAGGCTGTTTGGCAAAAAAAAAAAGCTCTGAATGGTTACATTTTCCCTCTTAACCATTTTGCCTCTAATGGGTCTCTAAACCATTCAGACTTCTCTTTTTTCATATTTGCCCTCTCTCCCAACATCACACATCGCTCACAAGTCATAGCCCCTCCCCCCACGTCGCCGGTCTTCAAATCTCAGCCCCTCCCCCCACGTCGCCGGTCTTCAAATGCCTCCCCCCACCCCACGTCGCCGGTCTTCAAATCGCTCCTCCAACCCTACGATCGTCGGTCTTCTTCTTCCAGCAGGTCTCACGTCGCCTTCTTCCAGCAGGTCTGTCGTCGCCGCCTCTCGTCGCCGCCTCTCGTCGCCGTCTCCGCCTTCTTCCAGCAGGTCTCACGTCGCATCCTCTCCTCTCATGTTTGTAACAATGTTAATTTCAGTTTCTTGAAGCTGCTTTACGAAATGGGAGATTTCGGTTTCTTGATCTTGCATAAATCTAGGGTTTGGTTTAGGGAATTTATCATTTTTCTTTGGAAATTGATGGTGTTTATTGCTTATTTCATGTTTGTAACAATGTTAATGATGATTGGATTACCGACATTTTGCAATTTCTTGAGGATTTGATACTGATATGAAGAAACATCATCTTTGGTAATTGTATGTTGGTTTATTCAGTACTAAATCATAACTAGGGTTAAAATGGTAATTTGCTGTCATTCAGAGAACAATTACCAAACAACCTTGTTTCATTCAGCACTTAACCATTCTGATCCTCTTAGCCATTCTAACCTCTTAACTATTCTAAACTAAATCATTCAGCAACTGCCAAACAGCCCCTTAGTGTTCTATAGAAGATCTTGCCACCTTGTGTGCTACCTTCCAGTTCTATTGTCTTACAATTTTGTAATCACGGTTATTTTGTCGTGTATAAATTAGAATCATGCAAGAGTAGCTATCAATTGATATTTTGTAATCAATTAGTTATTCCTTCTAGCAAAATCGCTAATTGATTATTAAGTACTTCCTTTGAACTAATTAATCAAAACCCATATAGCTTATTTCTTTGATAAGGTTTGATTCAAACCTTTTAAAATAAATTAATTTCAGCTAATGATCAAAATTAATGTCAAATTGGTAATTAATTATTAGGCACCAAACCTAGGGGAGGTGGTGTATTCAGCCTTTATTTTTTTTAATAGTCCTTTAGAAAAGGTATGCATGCAGCTTTTATTCGAGCGACCTGCCATATAATATTATATACGGATCAATCAATGGACGTTGCTAATATGCCATGCATACTTTTTAATGCTTTTGTTTTTTTGTTTTTTGTTTTTTGTTTTTTGTTTTTTGCCATTGTCATTTTATCCTTTTGATTTTTGTCGGTTGTTTAATATACAAATACTCAAATTCCTACTTTATTTTTTCTTATAGTTTTCCTTACCTTTGTTTCATAACTTCATTGCATTTATTTCATCAATTTTAGTTCCTGCACAGAAATATGTTTTAACGGCTTACAAAATTCGTGGACATGGGTCCTATCCTCACCTATTTTTCCACGAAAAAAAAAAAACTAAAAACATAACTAAATATTTGAAAGAAAAAGAAGACCATTTAAGATGATTTCTTCGTTTACAGCTCAAAAATTTTGAGTTCGTTCATTTATAGTTAAATTTTGATATGATGTATTGAGTAGTGTGAACCAAAAAAATGTTACCTAATTAGAGATAGCTAGGATTGAGTTATTTTAAGACTATAATAATAGAATGACTTTGTCTCTAGTAGGATAATATTGGTCAAACGGCTGCATAATATATGATAGGATTATATTATTTATGTCTATTTCACTTTATTGTAATTTGACTTGGTTGCGTTCATTTGATCTTTATATATTGACTAAGTGTTGTATTATATGTCTAATTGCTTCCGTAAAGTTCAAGTTAATGACATTCAAGACTGAAAACCCCCCAAGGTTCACTTTATCGACACTTAAGACCATAAATTTTACTCCATTGACAACGCCTAGAATTTAACCTGATGGCACTAAATTAGACTCCTTCAATTTGTTCATTAAGTTTAGAAACTCATTTTAAGATCCAACCATTAGGGGTGGATCTCAAATAGTCCTCATACATCATGGGACTCTGACTCTGATCACTCTTCCTATATGATTTTCTCCACTTATGTCAATGTTAATTAATGACTTGATCAAATAGTATTTTTGACATAAAAGAAATTAGTTCGTATATCCCTGACCTCCAAACTTATGGAAAGGTTAGTGGATGGTTGTCTGGTTGATACACGATAAGTCAGCATATATGGATTGTAAGGGTGATGTGCCGATCGAGCATGAATTCAACTTAAACTAAGACTATGGTAAGTGCACCTAGTTTCTTAATTTGGAATTGCTTGATGATTTCTAAAGGATAGAGCCATGTGGCGTAGACTTACTTCAAGATGTAACCAAGGTAAAAGACCCAAAGGATATAGGTCTGAGGAGGGTGAAAAAAACAAGTAAGAAAGTTTGTTTTCCTTCTCCAAGAAAGGGTCATATATCAATGGAAGAGTTGAGGGATTTGGCAATCAACATATCTGGCCACATTTTTGCGAGTTCTTTGCATTGTTGAATTATCCTAATGTCTTTGAGGGTTGAATCCTTATCTCCAGAAATGGCAAAGATCTCCGGCAAGGAGGTGCATGGTGAGCAGTACAATATGCCTGTTGGTGGAATGAAGCAGTTAATTCTATGCATCTGGAACTTGTTTGATGATGTGTTTATTTGGAACCTAATTGTGCTACAAAAATGATCGGCAATATAATTAATCTGGAGAATTGAACATCTTCCCATTTCCATAGTTACAAAAAGATAAGGTAAGAAATCAACAAAGACAATGACTAGGTCAAAAATAAAAACATCATTTCTCCATGGTTCCACCACCCGTATGTGATGTACATCCACAAGGAATAGGATAAATCTTGTATTGAAGGAAAAATCGAAAACCGAGGACAAAGCTACAAACAGAAATCACAAACTGTGTCTGTGGTTCAAAATCTCAGTGATAATTCTCTAAATTTCATGCTTAACATGTGAAAACCAATTAGGGGGTATTTATACTTAGCAATAAGAAGAAGCAACTCGATCCAAACACTTAGAACACAAAATTTGATATGAATCAATTGGCACAGTCATGCCCCTTATGCAGCACGCTGCACATGAGAGCTTCCCCTTTCCAAATAATCATATAATAATCCAGAAATTGCAGTAGAAAAGAAAAAGGGAGGTTTGTGATGACAAATGTTTATTTCATTTCCAGGGAAGTGAAACAGACGTCAGGCACGATCGAGATGGTGTCTCACACACAACCGCAACCCCTTTCTTTCTTTTCTTGTTTCGGTCGTTGACTGTCTCGTATCACATCTTCAACACGAATGAATTAGAGCTCTCTGTGAGAAAGCTGTGGCGAGGCACACCCCACTACTGAGGAGCGAGGTCCTTTTAAGAATCATTACAGGATCAAGGTGCACATTGCACAAATCCACCGAAGAGGCCGGCTGTTTGACATGGCCATGGGTTTGATATCTTGCACGTGGATCCTATATATCATTTCGTAGCAAATAGAAGCTAAGATACATTAATAATTGAGGGAGGAAGTTAATGCAATCATCCACCATTGTGAACACATTTGGGCAGGCAAAATGATAATCGATCACCATTATAAACAAATATGTTCTGTATACATATACACAAACCCATGCATGTGTGTGTCTATGTATGTATTTAGGTGTGGATGGATGGATGGATTGGTCTAAAACATATGAACAAAGAGAAGCTAAGATATGTTTTATAAAAACTAGGGGGCCACATATTTAATTAAATGAATCGTTGAATATATATAAACTATTGACGCGAACTTTGATTTTACATGAGATTATCATCATCAATCTTATCTTACATAAGATTTTTAAAATTTTTAGCAGTGAACCCTAATTTACAAAAAATGCAATTTACAATAAATTATGCACAACTATATGTTATATATATATATATATATATATATATATATATATATATATTATCGCATTCTTTCTCTTTTGCAAACATAATGCCTAAATTCTATTTTATATTCTATAATTTTCCCTTATTTCTTAGTTTATGAAATATTTTTATTTTCGGAATCGTCATCATGCATATCCTATCTTATTAAACTATTATTGGGGGATATGTTTTATGTATATAATATTTATATACGGAAAATATTTACGATAATTCCTTATTTTGATGAGATTTGAATCATTGATTTCTCAGGACGAGTTTTGGATAATTCTCAAAGACATTAACTTATTGTAGCATATATACAACAGTACAGCAATGTCAAAGGGCGTTCTCATTAATTACAACAAGGACTAAATAAACGTGGTCATCCACGAAAAGATGCAGCTAAACCCTTGTAAAAATCTGAAACTATTAAGATTAAGGAGGTTAATGCAGAAATAAAGAAGGACGAAGTTATCTACCACAAAAGAAGGGTTCTCATGGAATTAAACTGAGAATTAATTTTTTCTAGTGTTTCAGAGTACTGTTATGCTTGTTCAAGAAAACTTGAAAAGACCAAATCAAGGGGACGCAATTTTTCTCAATTTCCTTTTCCTTTCTGAGTAGGTTGAAGCTTGTCCACGTTCATACGTTGCACATATGAGTTGTTTGATGATCAAATTAACAAGGATGTTGTCAGCCAGCAATAATCGACAGAAGTTCTTATCCCTGGTTTACTCACATTCAGCTCTCCGTGGGAAAAGAAGAAAAAGGATGCACGGAATTATCGAACTCTGAATTGCATGTTGAGTTAGAAGTTCAAATTGCTAGCTGCAGGTTCTTCACAAGATCAGTTGATGACATGACGAAGTCATCATTCTTCTGCAGAAATCGACAAAAATTAATGAATTGAAATATGTTAGGTCTATGCATCTTATACATTTACCATAAACCCATTAACACTTTCAAGTATATAGATATATGATTATGGATTCAAGCATATAGAATTTGAAATATGATTATGTATTCAAGCATATAGATATACCTGAGCAACAACGGTGATAAGAAGAGTGGTATCAGCAAACGGCATGGTGCTGCTACTGATGACAGATAAACCAAGCTTCTGCATCTCGCTTAACACTTTCACCAATGATGTGCAGTTGTTCCGGCTGTAGATTTCTATTAGCAGACTACATCCGGACATCCTCACTTCAATCTCTGGATTGCAAGGGCTACTACTCTCTTCAAAGTTTGCTTCATTAGAAGAAGAACCATCATCATCACTACAACTAAGCCTTGATCGCTTAGCGGATATAACTGATTCGTGCAGGCTCTTTCTCTTCAAGCCTGATGATCCCTCAAGCTCCTTCACACGACCTTGGAGTTCTTGTATGTAATTAGCGGCGTCTTCTAATACAGTTGCCTTATCCATCTACCACCAGAGAGTTAGTTAGGTCGTTAATAGAGTACATCTGAAAGATTTCTGAGTGAGATCATTATAAGATATTTACTATTTCGTCTACAGTATAGGCTAGGAAATTTGTGGTTCCATCAGTACCTTCTTCAGGTCAGGAAGGAGAGAAGACAAAGAAATAAACCGTTGAGCCAACTTTTCTCTTCTCTTCCTCTCAGCCAATACATGATCTTGAACTTGAATCGGGTTCCTGATCATGGTCGGAACCTTTTTGGTACCAGCTGCTGTGCAACCAAATGAATCACTAAAAGTAAGGATCTCATCTTTAGGCTTTATATCTCCAAAAGATATGGTGAAAGGGTTAGGAGTATCAGAAACTAGCTTTGGCTTCGGTTTTTCGGTTGGAGTAAATTTCTTGTTAATACTATTGGCTTTTTTGTAACTAGATAGTTGCTTGATATTGGATGGTTCTTCAACATTCTTTGGAGTTTGAAAAGATTGATCGATAAAAGATGGGTTTTCTGTGTAGCTTTCTGAGGAAAATGAATCAACGCTGAAGTCATCCATCAGATGATGATAAGGTTTATTCATCTGATATTGATTCATGAACCCTTGATCTTGCATTTCCTAAATATGGATTCAACAAACAAAAGAATTGTGTAAATAAAATAAATCAGCACTACAATATATATTATATGATTCCAAATAAATTCACAACTATGTAGCCTGTATGTTTTACTTACCAGTTCTGGTAGCCAAGCTGACGACATATCCATCACTTTAGTATGTGATTGTCAGTTCCAATCTAGACTGCAAGTACAGACATACTTTTTATTAGATCTCGCAAAACACATAAGTTGAACACACCGCTACACTTTTCTAAAGACTAAAAATGAGAGAGAAAATTAAGGTACTCCGGCCTTCCATAAGAATTCAAAGGTTGCAATCTTAAATTGTTTAACAAAATCTTGTAATGATGAAACCTTTTCCAGAGAAAAGAACTGTTTCTTGGGAAGGAACTTAGTGAATATATATATATATATATATATATATATATATATATATATATATATAATCAAGAAGCCCTAGATACAAAAGCTCCTTAAGTTTTTTTGCTGAAGACCCAAGAACATCATTTGAAGAGAAGAAATCTGAGTTAAAACTTCTATAGCCTGTCTACTTAAGCATCTTTAGTAATTAATTAATTACTTAGACGACAATCAGTGTTTCTATATAAGCTTTTCAACCTTGACATGAAATCGAAGAAATACCCAGATTAGGGTTCATGATTTGATGCAATATTTCATGAAAATCAACCTTGAATGAAACTGAGATGAGATGAGAGAGAAGAGGGTGAGACTGACACCGAAATCGGGAGAGAAACGAGTTATCTGTGAAAAAAGGGAGGAGGACTTTTTTCTCAGCTTTTTGTAGAAGAGTTATGTTTTAGCATATGACCACCGAGAATAAATATTTGAAGCGTTTGTAGCAAACTGATGGAGACTTGAATATTGTGTTTTATTCAGCTGAGACACGTGACGGAAAAGCAATTCCCGTCTGGAATTGATTCTCTCAATTTCTCCTTCAAGAACCTGCTTTTCCCTCTTTTTTAAGTTTATCTCACAGATGATGGTTGCAAACATGGGTAATAATAAATGGATCAAGACACCCCATTCTCGTGTAGATCCTTCTTGTAAACTGTACAACTCCTTTATTTTATTTAGGGTTTTAATTATTAAAAGACAATTGCTTATTTATTCATCATTCCGTTAAGTTAATAGCATATACATCAAGAGTTCTACCAACATTTCAAACAAAAGTTGGTTGATCGATGAAATGTCCTGCGATTTTATATATGACGTGATTTAACATGAATAATTTCATACACTTCATAATTTAATTAGTCTATTTTGATTGCATTTGACATTATTCATTTGGTATTGTTATCTCTATTGCTACGTCGTTAGCCGATAATCATCAAGTTTTGTAATTATGTTTTTCGTAATTATCCATTACTTGTTTCTAACAAACATTTCTATTTAATGGGGAATTGTTTTCGGCATTAATTAATATATGATCATTCTCTCGGCTTAAAAGGTAATGATTTCTCTAAAATCATTACACATATTTTAAATTATCATTAATATTATTATTTTTTTATCATTTTTGCATAAAATATCAATTTTATCTATTTCTACCATTATTTTTAGGCATTATTATATTCTAAACATGAATTAGAATTTGATAACTCAATAACATATGAAACAATCAAAACCAAATTAATATATTAAACTAAAAAGTTGTGAAATATAAAATATATAGGTTAAGAATAAGGAGTGACAAATATGTCTAAATACAGTAATTTGTTATCTAAAATATACTATATAAACTCAATGAATACATATATATATATATATATATATATATGTGTGATTTTATCATTAATTTTATTTAAATAACCTTATATTAATAAGTATTGATTTAAGTAAGAGGTTAGTTTATTTGTATATGACTTAACAAACTAAATGACTTGATTCGCTTAGTCATGTATCATTGTTTGTCTAAGATCTAATGCATGGTACAACCTGAGTAACTTATTTCTATCAACCCCTCATCTAAATGGCATGTCAGTAACTAAATTTATTCGATTTTGCAACCTATATAACTTATGAGCATTCAAGAGACTATTTTTCTTTTCGAACAACAAGAATATATTCCAACCCGCAAGCTAGCGACTATTAGTTTGAATTTCTTTGTCAATCAAAACCGACTCTTTGTGTTCCTTATCAGTTGCCTATAAACAGAGACTACACGGTTTAAAAATGGATCAAATTTTTGACCGCCACTTTTTGTCTATTCCCAACTAATTAATTTTAGAAATCTGGTAATATAGAGAAGCTAGGCACATCTTGTATTCGCCTAGTTAATGTAGATGTAAGTTGTGATGCTAAGAATTATGAAATGAGTCATCTTAAGTTGTTACATGATTAATAATTTCAAGGTACCCACAAGGTTGGAAACGAGACAGGGAAATCTTGGAAATGTAGAATACCTTCTTAGGAATATGTGAAAATATGGGGTGTCTCGCCAAATCAAATGGAAAACGATACAAAATCAAGTAAAAGTGTTTTCATTGATTGTTCAAAACATAGCAATACTTGTCGTTTCTCGATAACAAATCCAAATGACCACATATTCACATAAACGTAATAAAGGAATATCAAGGAATGGTTTATACTTTGGCGGTCTCGCCCTTTGCTTGTATGGTGATGACATGATGAGAAAACAACAAACATATCAGAGATGATGTTGGACTAGCATATGTTGGGTGTTCAAGTTAAAAGAATGTCTAACGGTCTAATATTGGTATACTCACATTGCTTGGACAAGACATTTGGAAAGTTTGAGGAGGACTGTGAACAGAAAGCATTGATCGTGCAAGGGTCATGTTGAGTTTGTTGTGAGTATATTAAGCACCCATTCCTGATATTTTATTAGTCTTGGACGAGATGCAAAAGGGCCTTTGATATGTACAAAAAAATCTTCAATATATTTTAGAAATAACATTGAAATACTAATAATTCATATTAAATGGTTTTTCCAAGTATTCCTAAATGCAAAATCAATCTATAATTATTTCTAAATTAATATAAACTCTTATATTATTTTTACATAGCATTGTCAATCCTTTCAAACATCATATGATATACCTTTGTTATATAAGTTTACATTATTTGGGGTCATAATATTGACTATTCAAATAACACTTAATGTAAATCAATATAAATTTGTTGGTTTTCCATCTCATCTCATGTTAATGTTTTTCATCGACGTTTTAAACTTTTAGGGGTAAAGCAAACTTTATCGGAACCATCAATATTAGAATCAAATGCCCATGTTTGTTATAAATTAAGATCTTATCTTGTTTTAGAGATAGAAGAGTATTTAAAATTCATACACTCAATGTTAGGTGATAAGGAGTCAATAATGTATGAATAAACAAAAGTAATTTTGTAATCGTAAAATATAGATATAAATTGGATCATCTCATATGGTTGGTATCGTTTTTCAAAAGGTAGGGGTTTTCTTTGTTACTAACAAGAAATCAACTATATTTTAATGTAAAAGTAGAATTTATGCGGTTGGAATAATCAAAAGTCAATGAGAAATGAATTATAGAGAATATATCAACGTTTTCCAGGTAACTAGTTTTAGTCTTTGACACTAGATAAAAAAAAAACTTAAAGAAACATATTGAAGTCGAACTTGTGAGGCATCTATTTGTGTCAGGGGCCCTGGATATGTAACTGCTCAAGATATCATCTTACCGCCTTATATAGAAATCGTCGATAATACACAACATATATCTAGCTTGATGAAACCTGTTGAGTTGGTTATTGGATTACAAATAGAGAAGAATAACGAATATTTTATAAAAGCGCCAAATATCTTTCAAGATGGAAGTTATCCTATAGACCACCAATTAACTTTTTACACATTTTCTAGTTCAATATAATTAATTAATACATGTATAGACCCTTAATATGATATTAAATTCTTTTTGAGTCTAATTAGATATTAAAAATTTTGTGCTCACTACAACAAAATTTAGGTCTATAAGACGTCAAAAAAAAGTTTCTTAATAGATTGATTTATAAGATCAAAAAATAAAACGTTCTAAAGGCGTTATAATAAGTTTATACGATGCTTTTGGACGTCTTAACAAATTTTTTAGGACACTTTAATACAAAGTGTCACAATAGTTATTTTATTGGGCACCTTTAGAAATATCCTATAAATTCATCTTTTGTAAGACACTTGTTTTTATAATAAAATTTTCAAACAGTGTTCTATAAAACAGTTAATGCGACATTTTTATATAAAAATGTTCTAAAAAAGCCCTGTAAACCTACAACCCCTTTAGATAGGTCTGTCTAACTTAAAACTCCTATAAATTAAGTCTTATAAGATGCTTGAAAATTTTTGAAGACCTATAAACCCAATTTTATTGCAATGACCTCTATTATTTACTTTTTTTAACTTGTTTTTCCAGTTTGTCGGTCCCCGATTATAAGTTCTTGTTGACCACGGAAAATTTTGAGCCCCCATTTCTTGTGGGCCCTATGCATGCGCCCAGCCAACCCTTCTCCAGGGACAGACGTGTGAGCACATGCATGACTAATACTAGATAAAACCATTGGAAAGCGATCAGAAAAGTACCGGTATAGTATTTGCTAAACACTCATATACATACATTCTATGAACGGGATCCTATTGGTTTAGAAGGACTCTCACACATGGTACAACCACAATTACATATGATTCGTGTCATTATAGTCTAATCATATTGATCAGTGCAATATGACTCCTATTATGAAATGCAATATGTGGTGACTATAGTTAGAAGTACTGTATTTATCATCCCTATTAACAATAGAGAATAAAGCACTCCTTTGGTTGTATATGGGTTATCAGTGATCTGTTGGTAGAAGTAGCTTTTCAGAATTTTTAAGTGAAGTCTTTACCTAGCAAGTCTTAAACGACAGACTTTCAGTTAAGGCGTTCCAACGATTGTGACTTTTTTACCAATGGATTTCGAGAATTAGGGAGAGCTTGATGCAAGCTTTACTAGACCCACATTATGTAGTTAGCTAATTGATTAGATACTCGAACAATCTGAGTAACAAGACACCTAAAGTGACTCGTCAATGCGGACTTCCTAATCCAATGTTCTGGAGACTCGTATCTAGAGACCATTCACTAGTATAAATGTGATCCTTAATTAATGATGTAAACACAAAATATGCAATGCAAGGCACTTTATTTCATTCAAATCAGTGATTCATCACGAACGTACCTAGTGATGTGCCTTAAGGTGAAACTAAATAATCTACCAAAACATACAAATATGCTCAAGTAATTATCATCGTTGTCTCGATAAACTAGTGTAAATTGCCAAAATTGTGTTATTTAAAAGTAGGGAAAAATCTATAATAAAAAAAAAAAACTCAATAGACTTTAGTGTTTAGAATGATTAAGTCCTTGGACAATTGTATAGAACAAATAAGTCCTTGGACATTCCAAAACTTGTTAAATAACTTCTTAGACTTTTTAAAACTTGTTAGATACATTCTTATAACTTACAAAACTGGTTAATATGGTAAAATAATGGAAAATGTCTGGGGGAAAAAGCCAATGAACTTTCATATTTTAAGTGATTAAGTCCATAAACATTTTTTGAACCAAAAAAGTACTTACATAAATAAAATGAAACAAATATAGCAAAAAATTACTTACATTAA